GACAGGTGAATCTCTGATCGCCGGTGATTACAGGTACACATCCTTCGACTAAGGTCTGACTGGCTTTCTGAATGATATATGGAGGTTTCAAGGGAGGAAAACCTTCGTCACAAGAGCGCTCCCATTCCTTTTGAGTTTTTCAGGTGGTTATAAAAGTTGGGTAATCACAGAATGTTTGAAATGTTCACCACTCTGTTCGTGGAAGGAAATCCAGTGGTCAATTAATATCACCGATTCATGTTTAGGCACGTGTATTCATATCACTTCTGCTATCCATACCCTTTCAGTTAGTAGCAGCAGCGATTCTCCGCTAGAGTCCCAGGAATTAGGAGAATATTCTACACGTCTACGGAAATTTTGTCTAGTATCTGTTTTGCACCAACTAGTTACGTATTTTATGGACAGAGAAGAACAACCTTTTTTATGAATAAATCACACACAGTTTTTCTCTACCATAAATGAAGAAAACAGTATTTACCAAGACTGCATGCTAACATCCCGTCACATATTTCGTGAAAAAGTAGTATAATGCAATATTTTACAACCCTATCCCTCGGGTCCAATCTTGTTTGCTGAAAAACGAATCGCGCCGTCATGGAATCCCCAGGTTTTTGGGGGTTTTTTCACCGTTTTACATCTGGATAAATATAACTCTATTGTTTGTCTAGTGCTCCTCTCCAATTCTATTGCTGAAGGAGAACAAGTCTCCTGGTTGTTAGATTTATTTCTCCAAATGGCTGACGTTACGTTTTATTCAGCTGAAGGAAACACAAAAGCCGGGTAGTTACTGCTTGACAAGCACATTCCCCAAACGGGGCGTCGCAAACGACACGCACAGGTTTTCAACTTGCCCACTTACCATCAGTCCTGACGGGACGATTAATAATCCAGAAATTGTTACTTTTCGCTTTTCAATTCGGCATACAACCAACAATATATTAACAATTACTCTGATACAGACAGAGATCTTGGAACTTTCATTATCATCGTCCACAAAAATTGCTGCCAGGTTTCGTACAACTGCTGCAAGCTCCTCTCACAAGGATATTGTCCGACCGGACCGTTTCCCAGGGTATTCAGAATAGCACGTTTCGAAGAATTAGGAACATAGGAGTTTTTCATTTAGCTCAACGTATACCAATGGAACAAAAGCGGTATACAGAAGTACAAATTGACTTGGAGATATGTTCCATTGTGAAGCACTGCTTATCTGTTTCATCCTTGTTGTGGATCAGCAATGGTGTGCATTTCGCAAAACCTCAGGAATCTCGAACCCGCAACCTTTCGGTTAGTAGTTTAAACACATAAACTTTCAGTCACGCGCATCTGGTCAGTATTGTGAATAACTCGTACATACACATGATATGGCACTATGCTTCAATTGCGACGTGCATATTACTTGATCAAACCTAATGATTGCATACTCGAATGGCTACTACGCAGATGGAAATAGTCGTTCGATTGTTTGCTGTGCTACTAATGTAGAGATGGATACTACTAATAAGACGTGCAAATAGTGTGTGGTTTTCCCGTAAATCCGCTTCGCGTCCATTGAAAAGCTAGATCACTCACGGAATTTGTGGAATTGTTTTGTAACATTCGTTTACACTTGAGTGACTGTTAATGAATATCCAGGAAAGTTCAGGAAGACGCGTTCGAGAAGAATCCGGATACTCAGTTTTCATAACCAAGATGCATTTGAGAGTCTTGCTTCCCTGTCAAATAGAGTGTAACTGTTCAGTTGGTGTTTCCCAATAAATAACTCAGTAGTGAAAGCCTTCTCCATTTCACAAACAGATTGTTACCGCAAGAATGTGAACTTCCCTCAAGTGATTTTCGATCTTCACAGCCGCGGGTTGTCTACAATGAATAATTTTAAATACCCTAATCTGGTTTTTTAGCGCTTTCTCGTCCTTTATGAATCATACAAAGAATAGGGAAGGATAAACATGATTTCCTCAAAGTGTAGAAACCTCGGGAATACAGATGGTTGTTCCTTTGAAGGGAGGAGATATTCTTAAGTAGGTTTTTATTGGGCCGGTTTGATCGACTATATCAAACCCTGAAAAATGACATCTGAAAGAAAACTGAGAAAGTGATTTCATGGAAAATTTGGTCACGTAGTGTATTCCTTGCGCTTGAACTAATGTGTGTCCGATAAAACACCAGCCGTTCAAGTGGGAACTAACCGAAACAGGAACCCAAATTCATATACCAAATAATTTTTGTCGAAGTTTAACATTCTTTATTTCCTAATTTAATTGTGGTTCGACTGGAGAAATTGTACTATTCCAGCCATGTTTGTAATGCTTGTGACTGTCTTCAAAAATGTGAAATTGATCATAGAGAATAAACCCTATAGCAGGCTTTACGTGAATCCCATTTTCGGATATAATTTTCCGGTAGATGACAAATCAGTGATTTGCCTAAAAAACATAATCGCATGTGGCTGGAAAAAGTCTAAGACACAAAGCTGGTTACTTACTTCAAAAGCATGAGAGGGGGAAATAACTCTTTATATTTCTCGGAGTATAATCGTTCCTTTCCGATCTCTGTGATGAAACGGTGCTCTTAGGGACAAAACACGACACAAGTTTCTTGCTGGGGATGGAGATGGGGAGTGCGTGACCTTCACTGCGCCTGGTTGCAGGCGCTGCAAGATATGGCTGCCAACCAATATCAGTGGCGTTTTTGTATGAGTATTTGGATGTGTAGACACCTTGAAATGATTGTAGTAAGCTAGCACTAAGCCCCTTACCCGTCCACCTTTATTCTTTTTTTCACAATGAGGCCTTCAAATTATTCAAAGTTGTACGGCAGCGAAGCTTCGGTGTTCAACACTGATTTCATGCTGTCGATGATGATGATGATGATAATAACTCTTGCTGGGGTTGTTTGGGTGGCGCCAATGCCTTAGATCCGAACATACTAAAGCGTCCAAGATCAGACATTCCAATGCAAAATTGTACCGTGCAAAATGTAAACAAACCTGATGCCGACTACCGGCTACAGCGATCGCGCATATTTCACTGGTGGCAACAACACTTTGAAAAGCGAGTATCAGAGTATCCTTTGCTCCCATTTTATTTCAGACTTGATCAATCTGTCTAAACAGTGGCCAAAAAATAAATCAAGCCTCTGTGTACCAAACCATAGGTTTTAAATTTGCCTTTAGATGTAGTTTCCTCTTTCACCCTGCAATACTGGCGATATCCGTCATGGAAACGCTGCTTGTCTTAGACTGTTCATGAGCGGATAGATCAGTTTGATAAAAGATCTCTAGAATGCTGTTTGAACTTACATTCAGAAGAGCCATTAGGGAAGTATATGAATGTTGCCAGTGTACCGCTCAAATTTTCTTGGGACATCGTCCCCAAAGAAGTGAGTAAGGATGACTTTCGCCCAAATTTGACAATTTTGACTATGGGACTAATTTTATTTTCATCAGTTTCTACCCAAGCGGCAATGAATTTTGATGCAGTTAAGTTGGTAAACTATCGTGATAAGAGTTAATGACACCTTGAATAAGCCAAACTCAGAAAATGAGGCAAACCCAACAGAGAGCCGCAAATGCTTGGTCCTGAGCTTGAGTCTCCTAGCTAAAAACAGTCACTCGTTCTCCATTGAATTCTTACGCACAGATCATACCTAGCTAGCCGAATACCGGTGGCATAATTAAGTGTTCATCAATTTCTTCGAACAAACTAAACAATACAGTTCAGTTTGCAACAAAGAATTTGCGTATAGCTGAAACAGACTGCGCTGCTGATTCCCATTACAACAGCTTTTGCAAGCCTCTTATAAATGATTTCAAACCGCGAACTAATGTGGACTGCAACCTGAGTCCCACAGAAACAGGCTTCAAGAAAAATAGTAACTTAACTTCAAACCCTGTCTCAAAAACGGAGCACATTCGATTTTAGCGTGGTGCTGCGCCTACACATTGAGATGACGAGTGGAATAGTTCATGCCAACACATAAAAAAAGAGACAATGATCTGAATTCTCAAGACCTTAGTAAGTAGCCCGGTACATAAGCAATCCAACGAAAGATTTGTGTGGACGTCGAAGGAGTTAGGGGGAATTCGCAATAGAACCGACACTCTGGTAGTATTCTTGATATATTGATGTCATTTTGGCACTCTGTGATTCCGATCTTCCTGGTGAACTAGGACGGTTTTGCAGCCCCACTGCAGCTTAGACAATATTTCGTGAGAGAACTTTGATGAACTAAAAAAGAAATCAATTTGTGGAAGCTAGATTTAAGTGCGCCGACTAAAGGCAGTCAAAGGAGGTTCTAACCTAACATGAGGTTTTGGCGTGGAACGCGAACTGTACTCATTTGCACATCAATTAGGTTGTGACATGCGACTCATCCGGAACCCAGCTAAGTCTTTAGTTTATGATGTTTTAAGCTTTAAAACAGTAAACGAGAAATTCAGCCGAGTAACAGATGAGTCTCACGTCAAAATCAAATTGGCATGCAAATTAATGCATTTCGCAATTTGGATTCAAGTAGAACATAAGGTTGATGGAAAATCGTGAACTGAGCCTACCTGATGAGCCGCAAGAAAGGTGAAACCGGTCCTAGGCTGTCGAAGAGGCTCATACGCACAGCTATATTGCTGAAGTGGGTCGGCACGGCAAACACATCCGGTTGCACATTTTTCGGAGAGGTTTGTGGCATCCGTAACAGCTTATTCATTGTATTCGTGACTTTCGGTAAAATATCTGAACTTTCCTAGTGACTAAAACTGTTTCACTTTTAATTCTTTGATAAAGGAGTGAAAGAGCTTAAAAAATAAGATAAAGTTTATGTATGCGTGGGCTTAGCTTTCGTTTGACTTTTAGGAGCCGCAACTGCGTTGCAACACTTTTTCCGTATTCAAGCTGAATCTGTTTTATTGTGCAAGTAGGTTGTGGTGTAGTCTACTTCGTGTTGCAGCACGCCGTTAAAACACCTTCCAAGTTCTCTATGCTTTTATCTAGTCTCTTTTGTAGCATATCAGACAACCACTCCGGTGTGCAAAAAATGTCGCACGTTCTTCCTGCGGTATCGTATTGTATGTCAGTACCTGAGGATGCAAAAGTCTGATAGTATCTGAGGTACTCTTATCAATGAACCCTACTTCAGTAGAGTTTGGAACTGGAACGTCGGCTTTCCCTTATACGGATACATGGACACTAACATAGCTACAAAATTCGTGGTTTACACCCGTCGATGAAGGTTCGTACGTCAAACCAAACTGCAAGCAGTATGACGCGATTTTGCTTCTGGAATCAGTTTCGGCGTCCATGACGTTCATTTTCGGCACCTGTGTTACGCCAGGATTACTGCTGCGTCAGACAGTGTGTAGGTTTCGCATGGGAGCACCAAATTTGAATAGAAATAGTCGCAAGTAAATTTTCCCATAGTAGTGCATAACTTTGGCTTAAAAGCATGATTGGCCCGTCACACAAGTCCGTCTGAGTCCTCACGAGTCCGCCTGTCAATAAAAAGACAACGAAAAGAATTGGCTATCTCAAACAACTTATCCAGGCCAAACAAGCAGATAACTCCATATCTCAAGAACAAAAATCAACTTCAGGAAATTTGCGTAAAAATGGCGTCGAGTAGATGTCAAAAATAACATGCGTGTCTACATTTCGTTTTTCTGCAACATTTGAACTGTTGCTACCAGCGAAAGGAGGAAAGCCTTCGCTACGGTATTATTTATTAGAAAATGCCAACTGACCAGTTCCAGACTGTTGGACAGGGAAGCAAAACTCTCATATGCATCCTATTTACAAAAACTGAACATCCATCTTTCTGAACTTTTCTGGATATATATTGACTGTTGTTCAAATCCAAGCAAATGCTACAAAGCGACTCCACAAATTCTGCAAAAGATCTCCCTTTTCAAGAGACCCACAGCGAATTTATAAGAAGAAACCATACTACTCGCATGCCGTCCCATCAGTAGTATCACCGTTAAACCAGGAAACTTTCCATGAACCGTTAGCTGTCTTTTGGACGCCAGCGTTCCCACGTTGAGAAATGTTATGCATCTTCAGCACCACGGTTGGGAAACTTTAGTTTTGTCCTGGTTTATCATACTACAAATTGTTGAGTGTATGATGCGATCTGGAATGAACGCACCGGATATCCATTGGTCGTTCACATATGTGACTGACATGAGACGCAGTTGTCAGTTTGATAGTTGTCAGAATCTGACATCCATGCGGACGAACGCATTTTATACCCCGTAAAGCCAGAAAAAGGGCTACAACGTTTCTATTTTAAATTATCACAAACGAATGTAATTCAGCAAGTAAGACAGGGAATTATGGGAAACCCAACGTAAGTAAAGCCATTGTATGTCGATTCTTCATCTCCATTGTGCCTTGGGAAATGTTGAATTGAATAGTAACTGTAAAGGTTACAACAGACAAACCTATGGATAAAGCCTAGACCAAAAAATTCTCAATATAGGCGGGCACATTTTGTGGATCTTGAAGAGAAATATATCAGCAGTATGTGCGTTACAGGCCGTCTAGCTTGGTCTTAAAGAACAGCAAAGGTTTTAAAGTTTTTCGGAGAACTTAACGCGCAAACAAATCTTATCGGCCTCGACATGCAGTAATTATGGATATCCTTAATTTCATGCCTACAAGACATTATCTGTTTTTGTCACCGAAACTTTCCTTTTTTCTGAGGCTTAATTTTATATCTTACCTCTTCACCTCACCCATTGAATTCACGGCTTCTTATCTAACAAATCAAGGCATCTACTTTGGATTAGGTCTGCAAAACATTTTACCAATACCTTCTTATGTTTGGCAGGTTTCGTTTTTTGCTCTTTTCACCGCATGCAAACTGTGGCGATAGATACTGAACACCAGTTTTCTTCCCAGTTTACTTACTCTTTTTTAACTTTGAATTCCACGCAACCCAATGACCTTTTGTAGTTATCAATTCCTTCTTCAATGAAGGTAGATAAAGTACACCCCGGTTGACTTCCATAAAAAAACTCAAATGATTTATTTATGATCATTTGGCTGAGCACCCCAGTTCATTGTTTTATTGATACAACCGGGTGCATTTATAATTTATACCCTGCTTCTGTAGGCGGGTGCCTTTGTTCATACTCGCCGCTTTGTTGACCACGTTAACTAGAACAGTGTTGTGCTGTTACTGGAGACAAGTACCCTCAGTTTGACAGCAGTGTATTCAAATGGAGGGAAGTAAATGGTAAATCTTTTATTGATTTTAACGTGAGACAGGCTATTCAGCCGTTGAATTTTGACACAAGTACGTAAAGGTATGAAAGACTAAACGGATGAAGCACGCATGATCGGACTGATCGTCACCCACCCAAAATTCAGCATTACCAAACGTAACCCATGTCGTAGCTATTTGGGATCGATCAGTTAACATAGGTGTGTTTTCTACAGTTCACAGACGGTTTTGTATATATATATATATATATATATATATATATATATATGATCAAACGCTTCTCCATCCAAACGCTCGATCGTTATTGAGTTTGTAGGTTGTCATGGGTCTAAACATTTTAGTAAGTCGGGGTCCAGTCTCTTGCAGTTAGTGTATTTTCCTCAAAAATTTCATGGAGACTATTTTACCCAATTCTACGAATCAACCATTCATGGGATATCTCTTGCCTGAGACATTTCATCCTTAGGACATCTCTACAAGGCAGGTTAGACGAGTGGATGGAAACACCCCGAGTTTCAGTGAATCGTAAAGCAAACGTTCGACTACAGTACCCTTTCGGTGCCTAACACCATACCACGAGTGGATGGAAACACCCCGAGTTTCAGTGAATCGTAAAGCAAACGTTCGACTACAGTACCCTTTCGGTGCCTAACTACCATACCACCAGAAGGAAGCCAGAAGGCCGGGATAATTCCTCTACACAGGGGAAATCGCAGAGGTCGCATGCGAACTACGGATCTTCCTGTCAGTAAATTTGTGATCTAACCACCAAGCCATCTTGCCTTCTGTTGCAGTGAAGCCTTGTCTAAACGAGAGATGCGTCGCCAACTTCACTTATGGAGATCAATTGCATTCTCTGAAAAAATATAGAGGAAAATGTGAGAATGAACCATTCATTTAACGGAAAATGAATGGAAGACCTACTATTTTCCACTCTACTTGACATGCATGCGTACAAGCGCACAGTATTATTACGAACAATAATAAAGAAACCAAATTTTGTTCTACACGCCGTCAGCAATGTTATACGGTTGGTGCAATTCAACCAAGGTAGTAGGTAAGTCTAAACAACCTCCCCAGGACCTGATACAATAACATCAGGAGACTCAAATCCGTCTCTCGCTTACCGTATTCTTCAATCAAATGAACTGCATTAATGCCGTTTTATGGCTTGTTTAGTACGATAGTCAAAATATGGTACAACTTACACTTTTGAGGTTCTGCTTTTTGGAGCTCATTGGGGATAGTTCATAATTTCTTATCAACACTCTGTCGTGCTCAAACATCTAATTCAACGGGCCGGGGTTATATGGGTTTTCAATGGGAGTGGCCATAAGGTGATACCCAAATTTTAATATTCCTGAAGTGGATTATCTTCATTCTTTAAGGATACGTAAAGTACTTTCACACCACAAAACTCTTTTATGGTCTCATAACTGAGTTTCATTCAAGCCCTCGTGGGTTCGCAGCTAACAACACGACATATTTGATTGCTTAAACTTATGACTTACAAAATTCTGGAAGAAGACTAACCAACGACTGGACCTTTTCTGCTTGGCGAGCAAGATGAAGATATTTTTGCATTCCGTCCTCATACGGAGGGGTGAAATGCAAAAAGTAAAACTGATTCAACGTGAATTGTCTAGTTGGTTCTCACTGACTAATAAAACCCCTTAAAAAATCGGTCTGCCAGATAACAGGCTCCAAAAGATTCCCAATGTCTCAATCTGCTCGTTTTTTGCTCCTCTTTGTACACCTCCAATATTTCATATCAGACTTTCCAGAAAAATGGAAGGTGGCTTATTTACGTCGACAGTGGAAGTCTGACATCACTTATTCACATATGGAGACATAATATGCATAACATTGTCGTGGTTTCTATCAAACCCGTTTTCTATCTGTTCTGTAAACCTTAATCAGGTTGAGCTTCTCAGTATTTCTAGAAATAAATACCCGTGAAATTATTGAGATGAGTAGATATGACGTGTGTAAAACCTAAGTATGCCTTGGTTTCAGGTCAGTACATCATCGGGAGTTTCATGAACTGGGTTAGATGTACCTTGAGGCACCTGAACGTTACAACCGGATCCTGCACTTGATCCATATCTGGGCATTTTGGAAGCTCATATCAGGCCAGCTCGGGAGCTTCACGTCGCGCAACTTATGATGGTCACCTGGAGGCTTTAACACAGAAAAGATGTGACAGTGGGACGGTTATATTTTCACTCAAACTACACCAATATGATCGTTATATCTGACTTATACCAATCCCAGAATGTTGTGGAATGAATATGCGAAAAAAAATTGGTCGTACTAAACTCCAGCTCGGTCGATGACCCAGTGACTCAACAGTGATTGGCCCTTTGGGTGCTCAGCTGTTGACGCACAACTGGCAAAACACGGACAGCTTCGGCGGGATTAAATTTAGCGCTAACATTGACATCAGCCCGAGAAAACCGGATCAGCTAAACAGTTCTGGACAGATTCAGTGCACTTTTCAGGTTTATCATTTACATGACAAACTGCCCTCCACTCTCCATTTGCGCGATCTCTCAGCGAGAACTCCGACGACCGTGTGTTCCACGCTTGTGTCTTTTTCCAAGACCCCACTTGCAAACCGGAGTTATTAAGGACCATCGTGGCCATGTTTAAAACCATACACTTGAGCAGTTCACTGGAAAACATTGACAGTACTGTCCAGCGTTTACGATAAGACTCGGCAAATTACCTCTGTGATCTGGAAAACAGCAGTGCGCATCATCCACAAAATCAACCTTCAGACCTTTCCGCTGGTAATCGATTAGAGAACGGATCGCCTGAAAAGCTCATCTTCACCAATGTTTCACAACTCATGAGAGCTGAGCAGGTGACTAACCTGTGAACCCAGGTGATTCTTTCATTTTATATTCAAAAATTTTGGAACTTTGGCTCAAGTTTGTACGCCCAGTCATTGTTAAGGCATTAACAAGGCCCAATTACTGAACAGATGCAGAGTCACCTATTACAGTAAACGCTTGACTAACCTGTTAGATTAGGCAAGTCATGAATCCTTAATTCACTTGCAATAAAACAGAGAGATTTTCAACTAATTAGTTCCATAACAATGGAATTACTAAGTGATCACATGATATGAAGTGTGATGTACGTCAGCACATTCCACAGATTGTAACTTAAATTCCACCCTGTAAACTCCATCCCTTGAGCAAACAATAAGTTTTCGGGTCTGAATGCTATCAACTATTATGCTTGAGAAAAATCGATGCTGTTATCCACCGTAAGCGCTTTGAAATTGAATAACGCTTCCAAATTTATTAATTTTGGGAGGGAAGAAAAAACAAGACTTACAACTAACCTAACTTTTGAGAAATCGCAAGTCATGTGGATGAACTCATCTACTTTACGTACATGCTGGTCAGGGTCTATTCAGTCTAATAAACCTTAGGTGTACACTTTTAACCGAGACAATATTTCTCAAAATAGATACATTTTTAGCCCGTCCTCATGGATTGGGCCAAATGGCCTCTACAGTGGTGCAGTATCTATTATGCATCCGTTCGTGACCTACACTACTGTCTGAACATGAGCATCTCCGTTCATACCATTTAAAGACACCCAAAATAAGCCAGCCTGGACGTACTGTCGTGAATCCACTCTGTGGGAAATGTTGCACCTTTGTATGCTTCTTTGTACTTTTGCTTTCTTGCCGTTCTTTCATTGCCGTACCACTTAAGTGACGGTGAGTAATTGGATGATGATAGTGGCAGTCAGTAATCTACCAAGACTTCATTACATCACAAACTGAGACAAGATACTGAGCACTGGTCAAAGAGGTTGGCGTTTTCAGTTTGTACGATAAAGCGAATCGCAAGCACTTTGCCCTACGTACACGTCATGACGTACATAAATGGTGATATATTTGGCGCACAAGCACACAGAAGCCTGTCAATGGCCAGTAGGCAGCACAAGCATGCTGAAGTAACCATGAGTACCAACGTTCGTTTTTTCCCAACAGGACTGTGATTTCATCAGTCGGCTTTTTCAATTTTCAGCTAAATATCATATTGTCAATTCAGTTATCTTAATAAAGCCTTCTGGAAAGTGTCCGTTACCGTATCATTTAGATGGGATGGATATCGAACATCTAATGACGAACGGAACTTTTGTCTCGAAGCATGACAGTAGAATTTGGTCTTTGCTGGTTAGAAGGGAGAAACTTACAATAAGGCATCACTCACTTGGGCTTTCGCGTTGGTTTGGTGGTGATCGGCGGCCAAATCTACTCAGGCATATGTACACACGAGCAACATATGATGGGGTGAATTTCTTGATTAGCTCGTTCAGGCAGTGAAATGCTTTGCGCCTGAAGGTGAGCAGAAAGCATTGCAGCGGATGTGAAACCAAAAGCATAGTATCCCAGCTTAGCTGAAGGCTTTCACACTAAAAATATTTTAGTCTCGAGCTTCATCCTTCAAGCGAGTTGTTTTCAGACGCAGTCAGGAACATCCCTTCTAGAAGAACTATCCATTGCATTAAGTTGCATTCAGTTTCGCTGGTTATGGTTTGAATACTTCAATGTTTCGGAACAAACCTGACCATAACCCCAGAAGGATTGGTGCAAATCCCAAAGGCGAAGTTTGTGCAGCATCCCAGTGTCTTGTTGATACAGATTCAGCGCCTCGTTGTTGGACATCAGTGAACAGAAAGGAACAGCCTTGTATCTGCAGCTTTACAGCTCTTGGTTTAACTAAAAATGTACAAATGGCCAAATTCGGCGTTGATCGTGGTAATCCAAGCATTCAGTTAGATAGTAACTGTCAAGTTTTCAGGCAGTGTGCAGCAAAACAAGCACAATTCTTCACAAGATTTTATACTCCAGCCATCAATTTGAATATACTGTGTGGCTGTGAACGCTTGACAGGTTGATAAAAGACAAGTGTCTTGAAAGTGAGATACCGAAAAGGCTTTCGGTCACACCTCCGTTTCAGAAGCTAAACCCACACATCCTCAATAACTGACAAACCTCTCTGACTCGCTGAGTTTTGTTTTTGTCATGATACGCTGAGATGGAGAAGCAACCATCTGTGCGGTTCTGGAACCATGAACCGATTGCCCACATATATTAATCAGATGGAGGCGACAGCTTAGAGTCAGATAGAGACTATTGGCAAGACTTGTTCTACCCCATGCAGAGGTGATTCAGGGAGTATATACTTATAACATTACAGCGGTGAGAACGGATTTGGAATCGTTCGCACACTGTGGAATAGCAAAGTTCTTGCATAATAGCCAACAGCGTTTCCCTATTTAGTGCAGCAAACGTTCCACAGGATTTGCAAACGGGATTTGTAGGTGTTGGTTCCATTCGCAACATTATTTCCTGTGCCTGACGCGCCGCGTCGGTTTCGGGATCAATTTAGTCTATTTGAAAAGCTGTGCCAGAATATCGGTTTTCGTTCACTTCAGCGGACCGTATGACATGATTTTTCATTCAGTGCAGAAGTGATCGATTCGTCAATAATCATCCGGTTGCTGATAGTTCCGTCTTTTCACTGGTAGCACAACTGTGGTATCCTTAAACGACTGTGCGGTAAATTTTCCGATTATGCAGATTAGACATAAAAGCTGCGACCTTCAGTAGCGGTCCACTCAGCAGGTAGGTAAGTCGTCTTCCTTTTGGCTGTGCACTCACCGTCTTTCGAATTTTAGTCTTTTAGGTAGGTCAAAACGTTCGTCGTCATAAAGGCCTGGTGTAACTAGGGAAATATTCCAAATCACCGGTTGGCCCAACTAACTGATTGCTAACTGATGGTAGCAAGCCTAAGTTACAAGCAGGTCGCACTTTATGCTATGTTGCGCTTTTGATCAACATCACTGTCATTGACGGTACTATGAACTTATCTCAATATTTCAAAGAACTACTCGGGATGTTATTTATTGATATACGCTTGAATCTGTTGGCCTTTGAGTCACCGGACCCTCGTGCTCGGGTAATCCGCTGGTTAACAACGCGGACGACAGAGGTTTAAAACTCTGTAAGAGAATCCTTCAAGTGGTTACTAAGCTTTCTGCTCACAACTGTATACAAATTGCCACATCCAAAAGGACATTAAAAACGCTAGATCTCCAACCACTGTTCATTGCTGATTGGGACTTCAGAAGATTCATCTTCTCACTACAAGTCATCACTTTAGATTCGCACCTGACAGATGCTGCATCGGCTGCGCTCTTATCACTGAATATGAGTACTTTATTTTCGTAGACTCGGTCCTGGTATTCTGCCTTGCTAAATCCATTGGTTTGATAGCGGTAGCTCTGTCATATTCCCTGATTTTGATTTATCGTTCTTCGAAATATTTTTTCAGCGTAGCTGTACTAACCAGTCAGTAGGTAACATGCTTGGTCTTTGGTCTGTTTGGGAGAAAGCTCAGTCAACAGCAATGTACCTCACTGTCACAGCAACTTGCATCAGCGTTGCACTTGATACCACGAGTTGCTTTTGTTAATACAGCTTCCTAGATATCCTTTTGTCGGTTGTCATCTGGTCGACTTTATGTCCTCGTTTACAGTACGGGTTTGTCCAAGTCAAGGTCAACGCTCCACGCCGCTGGTTCATTATCACATATGTGGTAAGTGGATGACGACTGTTAATGTTCACAGCTGCAATTCCGAAATGTCTGGTTATTCCTTTCCATATCTACTTGTCATGACTGGTTGCGGAAAACAGATCACCCATAGAGAACACAAGCACTCGATTAGTCGAACGAAATTGAAGATAGTAAAATACTTCTTTCTCAGATTTCGAATGAAACATTCTTTGGATGTGCAAATTGACAGAATTGATGTCGTCTTGGCAGCCAAAGCCGGATGGCTACCATCCTTGCATCGACGGTGCCCCACTCATCAATATCGTTCCAGTTATGTAATCGGCCACTGAAAATCTGGATTTGTGTTCCTTGAAACTGTCCAGTAGAGTGCATAACCAGCTTCCTGAAATCATTGACTCGCATTGACTTGCATGGACACATGCGAGTTTCGCTCCAAGAAGCTAGGTCGATAAGTCACCGCTTCAACGCAATGAAAATGACGGCTTTCACCTCTGCAGAAAGTCCTCGAATCACAGTCGTTTTATCTTCAGTTTAAAATATTTTCTGCAGCTCTTTCGTGCTATTTTCAAAACTAGTGTTTTCGATCCTCCAGTCTAACGCTTTGAACCACACAACTTTGGCTGTCTGTTTTCCCCTGAGGCACTTCTATTTACGCTAATGACTTTCAAATCTGATCCATTTGGCACAAAGATGTAGGAGTGAGCCTTAAGCCCTCGTAATCGAATTCTCTGATGCACTAAAGGTAAGTCCTAACTTGCACCCGCAGCTGCTGGTATCATGAGGACTTGGCTGCTGGCTGCAGTCCATCGTAGCGTAACTGAACTTTTAGGAAAACAAGTTTCAGGCAGTGTATCTTACCAAGTGCATCTCACCGTAAGTCACCCACTTCTCGTTCTTTTCCTCCATCATACCTAGTGCAAACCAAGTAAGGAGAGAGCTTGTCATGAAAAAAACCGTATCAGGAACGCAAGCCCGAAACATACACCTACAAAACTGAAAAATGATAATAATAGTCCGCTTTAATTGGGGCAACTTGGACAAAAACAGCTACCTCAGACAAGACCGTTCATTCACCGTTAGTTTATGTCTCTATCCGTAATCCTCCGAACTACAATTTTTTCCGCAAAAATTGGTTTATGCTTGAGTGCACATGTGTGGTGTGGTGCGGAAGTATTTTGTGCTTCAGCAATGGAAAAGAAAATATTTTCAACATACAACATTGCCAAAAGTAACAGTGCACATAAACACACTCGCGATGCATTTGTTTATGAGCTGACTGCGGCATGCGACGGAAAACACAATATTTAATTGCCGTCTAGAGATGTTACAGGCAGCAACAGACCAGGAGGAACAACGCAGTGTTCCAAAGAAGTGCCCAGCTTGCGGATTTTTTAAAAGAAATAATGCGGACCTAGAATAATCCAGGAAAAATATGTGATTAGTTTAGTATAGCTTTTGACTTGTTCTAATAGAATTCGCTTGCAAGTAGTCGCTGTAACACCATTTTTTCCTACAGTATTCCTACCTCAGAGGAAGCTTTCGGGCGTAGGTATTATCACCAAGACAGTTGTGGAGGCAGCCGTGTCTTTAATTCCCACCGAAACAAAAGCAAACCAGTACCAGAGAGGAAATAAATCTTGGTGCATCAAGTAGCTGATATACTACTCAAATGGAAGTAGCACAATGCAATCGTCATTAACACAGGTCAAGTTGTAACAGTGATACTACTGATGAGGGAGGCATCATAGTTGTGTGTTTTCTTGTAAATTCGCTCTGCGTTTCTTGGAATGGGAGATCTGTTGAGGAATTTGTGGAGTCCCTTTGTAACATTTGCTTGGATTTGAGCAACAGTCAAGGAATACCCAGGAAAGTTCAGAAAGAGCGTTCAAAGAGAAAATGGATATTTAGTATTTGCAAACAAGATGCATATGAGAGTTTGCTTCCTCGTCCAGTAGTCTGTAACTGTTCAGTTGGCATTGTCTAATAAATAACTCCGCGGCAATGGCCTTCTCCCTTTCAATCTTATACCAGATGTAAGCGTAGGAGACACATGACCCGCTACAGTAGTGAAATCCTATTAATTATACTTCTTTTGAGTAGGACTAAAACTTTGCCTTATCTAAGCGCACAGTACCATGTGAGGTAACAGTACACAGACGAAGTACCGACTAAACCATAGAGTGAAACAACTCACGCTGGCATGATGCTACTTGGATTCTCTTTAGTCATCAGTGAACATAACAGATCGTGTCTATGACAACTTATATTGAAGTGTTTCCTGTACTGCTGGTCTGGACTAGTTCTCAGAGACGCCACTGACGACATGCATGCTTACCATGTTGCACTGGTATGTAGGCCATTTTAACGGATACATGAGGTATTCACATCAGGGGAAATGGAGGCTATTCTTATGAAGGCTGTTGGAAACTTCGACGTAAAATTAAAACTGTTTCACCTCAGTGCTAAATAATTGTGACACGGTTCTTGTTACTTATTCCACAGTGAGGAACCATCCCTTGTTTGTAAGCCCTTTGAAATTCGCCCATGTTTGCCCGAGAAGTAAAACCAATAAAAAAAGATTACTACTGCTTCGTTTTGCGTGCATCTAACCGAAATCTTGACTGGTTGCAGTATACGATTTTTGGGTTGAATATCTCAAATTCGCGCAATCAGGAAGGGGTAAATACCAGTTGTGATTTGTTTAAATTTGATTTATCTAAAACTCCTCACTCACCTGAGCTATCTAGTGAACAGATGAATAATTGCAATCAGATTGAAGAGTCCTCTATAGATTAATTGAATTAAGTAGGCTGATAATGTAGCGGTCACGCTGAACAGGCCACAAAAACGCCGATCCAAGCATGAATGCGTAAGCCGTTTTATATGCACTTAAAAGGAATAGAAAAAGACATTATCAGTGCTATCTAGAGACAGAACTGAGCATGATGGTTTGAAATTACCCTTCCAGAAACACACTCACACATCTCCAACACTGAATATTTCGAAATTCCCATGCTGAAATGCTTAAATTAGCCTTACAGCATATTTTTCCCAGATGGAGGCTTCAAAAAATTTAGGTCTGATAAATTTGGTGTGGGCTTTGAGTCCATAGCATTACAAAGTGCAGCTTGAATTTAAAAAAACAAATTGACTTCAGGTACAAGTCATTTAATAAGCCAACTACCACAGTTCAACCTTTATTCACTATCTCCAGTGAGAATTAATCCAAGTATCAGGTGAGTACAAAACTCAGTTTGGGCTTTAATCTACATAAAAACCATGAAGGTTGCATTTCTCGTTAGAACGCATCGAAAAACGGACTACACTCTCAGTGTGTCATGATATTATCCACCACTTTCAACGTATTTAACTTACTCTGACAAACCGGACTGAAATTCGATCATCAAAGTTCACTTTACTAAACTAAATATACGATCACATTGTAAATTAGCTTATTTTGATGGTGTGAGAGGACTTGTACAGTGTAATATGCACGCTATGGATGCACCAGGGGACAGTGATTCTCCAAAGGCAGGTGTTCACGACAATTTCTGTGGATGGAAAGCAGAAATAAAGCTCATGAGCCAAAGCCCAGCAAGCAAGGTTGTACATCACCAATAATTACATATAAATCAATCAACCAGACAGCCACCGTATACTACATTGTCTATCCCGCCTGATACTTTGGGGAATAAAAATTTGTGAGTTCCCTTCACCTTCAAGAACAATTTTATTCCACTGTATAAATAAAAAGCTACTAAAAATTTCCACCTAGGACAACAAGGAGAACCGCAAGCATTCTAGAGCTTCGGAATTTTCATTTATTGTAAATTGGTAAATTGAAGATTAGAGAGTTTCAATTCTTGTTCGTTTGTTGGCAGAAGCAACCAGAATGTTGTGTGGCAACTAGTAAGTCATTAGTTGAAAAACCTTTTGGCAAATAGTAGTACAGTATGGTATGACCCGTGCCCACAACTCAACGCTCAATGCTTGCAATATAAGGGGTATCGCAATTGCACCCACTCCGCAGTGTTTTCAGGAAATCTATCTTTCAAAAACCCCATCCTCATTGTAGCTCAAGTACCCTACAAAGCGTGGACCCATTAAACAACTCCTCAGTTTCAAGTGAACTTGTATTGTTTAAATTTCAAAGCACATAATTTTCTTCCTCATCTAAAACAAACAACAAAATTGACCAGGAAAATCGCTCAAACTTTACAGATACCGCCTACTGAAGGTCTGAAATGGTATAGAACGATAAAATTTTATGTACATATTTGTCTTCTAAAAGTGTGGCAATGTAAGAAGATTAAAGTCTGAATAGATTCTTTTCGAGGGAGGTTTGATGAACAGATACTGCTTTAGTAGACGAGCGTTTACTCTTTGTGGTACAAAATTTCTTCTTTCTATCTATTCCTTAGCTTGTGAGACAGCTTGATGTAAGTTTGCTGAAAGCTCTTAGTCCATTATTGGTTTTGCCATTCTAGAGGCTCGTCAGATAGACCTTCTTAGTTATGTCAACGAAACAGCGCAATATTTCGAATGTCAAACAAACTGAAAAATAGGGCAGTTTCTCATTCAGTTGAAGAATATCACAAACCAGAGACACAGTTGGAACGCTGGTTACCATAAAAGTAACTTGCAACTAATGGTGTTTCACCACTAGTCTTTTTGTTTCTGACTCACCTATAGTGTCTTTGAATATATAATCCGCCTATAAAATCTGTTTCAGTTCTATCTATCTATCTATCTATCTATCTATCTATCTATCTATCTATCTATCTATCTATCTATCTATCTATCTATCTATCTATCTATCTATCTATCTATCTATCTATCTATCTATCTATCTATCTATCTATCTATCTATCTATCTATCTATCTATCTATCTATCTATCTATCTATCTATCTATCTATCTATCTATCTATCTATCTATCTATCTATCTATCTATCTATCTATCTATCTATCTATCTATCTATCTATCTATCTATCTATCTATCTATCTATCTATCTATCTATCTATCTATCTATCTATCTATCTATCTATCTATCTATCTATCTATCTATCTATCTATCTATCTATCTATCTATCTATCTATCTATCTATCTATCTATCTATCTATCTATCTATCTATCTATCTATCTATCTATCTATCTATCTATCTATCTATCTATCTATCTATCTATCTATCTATCTATCTATCTATCTATCTATCTATCTATCTATCTATCTATCTATCTATCTATCTATCTATCTATCTATCTATCTATCTATCTATCTATCTATCTATCTATCTATCTATCTATCTATCTATCTATCTATCTATCTATCTATCTATCTATCTATCTATCTATCTATCTATCTATCTATCTATCTATCTATCTATCTATCTATCTATCTATCTATCTATCTATCTATCTATCTATCTATCTATCTATCTATCTATCTATCTATCTATCTATCTATCTATCTATCTATCTATCTATCTATCTATCTATCTTCTATCCTATCTATCTATCTATCTATCTATCTATCTATCTATCTATCTATCTATCTATCTATCTATCTATCTATCTATCTATCTATTATCTATCTATCTGCCTCTCTATCTGCCTCTCTGTTTGCCCGTCTGTCTCCATCTGTCGGTCTGTTTTTCTGTCCGTTTTTCTATCTGACTGCCCATCTGTCTATTATTCACTGCTTCCTTTGAGTTTGTATCCTTGCTTGTTCTTTCTGCAAAGATAAGCATTCATTTTTGTAGCTCAACATCACTTGTGTAACAACTACCATTCTCTATTCGAAAATGAGTTGTTTGATATCTTAGTGAGTCCGGTTTCATCCAAATGCCTCCCCAAGAACCATTTTACTGGCCCGTAATGAATAACTTCGTTTGCCGTATCTCTCTACTAAAGTCGAGACCATAGTACTGGAGACACCGTTTTGTCGGAAACGGCCTGTTCGAAAAGGTTAAATACCTAGTCAACAGAGTGGCGTGTTGCCCCTAGAGACTTCCCTTTGAATTAAATTCAAGACGAGTTGCTCCTTAAGAAGCCTCTAGAGTACGCCGTAACTGTGAGGTGCTCGGGAATTAAATGATAAATTCAAAGCCAAAGGCAGTTAGTACTTCCAATTCTATCTAAGGAAGCATTATAACTACTTTTTGATAGGCACATACGGGTGTATTTCAACGAGCGAAGGCCCACGCAAGCTGTCACTGCCATTGTCTTGGCAACCAGGACAAATAGCACTTATCCGACAAGTTGGAGAATCATCGAAAATATATACGGCTTGCACCTGGCTAATGTTTGCCTTCTGTTCTAGTTGTTACCAGCCCAAATGAGCCGGAAATGAATTTGAATTATCTAGTTAGAGAATAAAGATAAACGAGTGCGATACGCAAGTGACAGACTCACAATAGAATACCGCCTCGGTCGACATTAGGAAAATAATATCATTGCAGTTTTCTATATAGGAAAATGTCGGTAGTTCAGTTAGCGTATATGGTGGTTGGCTTTTTCACTGAGCTGGGCAATTTGATTGCAAACGTTTCATCACCAATCGAGGCGACATCATCAGTGCGTTATTGGGGAGCGTAGTTGTGCGTAGCGGTAGGTTAGTGGTCGCGCCGCTACGCACAACGATGAAACGTTTGCAATCTAATTGCCCAGCTCAGCGAACAAGCCAACGACCATCATTGCAGTTTTTATGCCTGACGAGAATATACACATTTCAGTCCCAATGCTTTTAACGTGTCTGACCTGTGCACCTTAAAGGTTGGTGACGCTTCGAAGTTTAGTACACAAATGAGAAAATTTTCCAAAGTGGCGAATATTCGTCACGGCTAGGACAATCGACAATGTCTTCTTTACACGCCATAGCACACAGTGTACAACAAGCTGCAAAAAATAGGCAACTGTTCGGAAACGAATGCCAGTTAGTATACTGCAGCGAAGCACATCAGCAACTCAGCAAGTGCCAATGCCTATATGCATCGTCCGTTCAACGTTGCTTAGCCCACCGGAATGCACATTTTCCCGTGATAAATTTTAATTCTCTGGGCATATTCAAAGTAGAGATGAAGCATTTACTCATGAAACCAAGAATGACAGCTTCGTAGAACTCACAAAAGCTGAAGCTTGGACCTCAAGACAGACATCCAATGGAGTGAGTTCCATACGGCAAAACTTAGTGAATTCCAACTTAAAGTTGGAGGTGATAAACGAGGTCTCAAAAAGAAATCAGTTGTTTAATCTAAAAACAAATCTAAAACAAACAAATCTAAAATCCTGCAACCGGTATCCCCTACAATGGCCCCAACTCTGTGGTGATTGTGACTAAGAAAGCATCAAGTGAAAAACTCACCAGTTATGAACAAAATCGATTGTCAACGAACGCCACAGTTATATCGGTCCTATAAACCTCACAGTGGTATCATTACGCACATAACAAACAAGTCTAATGATTAATTTTTTGGTGGCTGATAAGATGGTCATTGATCTGTTTGCCGGTAAACAGATGAACGACCATCTGGTCGGCCATTAGTAAATACACCGAGGCTACCAATATTTCGGCACACTGATTAAATTTCTAGACACGTTCCGTCCTAAACATCGATTGCAATGTATGTTGGATTCTTGGTACCTTCAAAACGCAGTCTGGTCGCTACTCCTTGGAGAGAAAGCCCGAACTACAAGCGCTTGTTGCATTAGTGACGGTGATACTACTGATCGGAAGGACGCGAGTAGGTATGTGTTGTTTGTAGAATTTTGCTTTGCGTCGATGGAAAAAGGGAATTCTGTTGCGGAATTCGTGGGGCCACTTTGTAACATTTGCTTGGATTTGACCGACGAATGAGTGGAGGCAACTAGTCTCTAAGAAAACTCGTTCGGGAGAAGATCTGTGTCCAGTTTTTGGAACTAAGATGCAGATTAGACTTTTGCTTCCCTGTTCAATGGTCCGTAACCGGTCAGTTGGCATTTCCGAATAAATAACTTCGCAGCAAAGGGCTTCTTCCTTTCACCAATATTTCGGCACACTGATTAAATTTCTGGACACGTTCCGTCCTAAACATCGATTACAGTGTATATTGTATTCTTGTTACCTTCAAAACGCAGTCTGGTCGCTACCCCTTGGAGAGAAATTCCGAACTGCACGAGCTTGTTGCATTAGTGACAGTCTTTTTAACTTCCCTTATTGGCGCACCATCAAAACAAAAAAATGCGCAAACCAGTTAGCTCATCTTGAGAGGAAAAAGGTTAAATGAGTTGCAAACCCAACAAAGGGGCTACCCAGTGAATTTCGTTTACTGTCCATAAGGCATGATTGACGCATCTGTGATCCCGTTTTCAATTGGAACATGCGATGTTATTTGGCGTGGGTCTGAACAGCAAACGGGCCTAAAGTGAACCATTACTTGGTGCAAAACCTTTTCTGAACATATTTCAAAGATCGCACACACAAAAACAACTCTTCGGAACTAACGCGCTCCATCAGACTGATAAACTATCAATCCCATCCCCTAGAACTATGCCGATTCAATGAAAACTGTCATGAAATTTTGGCGGAAACGAACCAATACCGTTTCAACTATAATCAAACTCCTGGTCGTTACTTCATAACAATCAACATGCTTCCGCTGTACGGTATGTTGCTATCACGTATTCTGTCAGCGGGGGGGATATAAACGACCATGGTGTGACTGGTTGAATGGGGTGACCGATCGAAGCCCTACAAACAAAGTCACTGGCTGCAAACACAGACACTGACTGCCATTTTTCAAAACAATGCATCTGAGGAGAGGTCAGGATGGGAAATGAAATTCTGGCTTCTCCTGGGGAGTGAAATTACTTTCGGATTAACATAAAGAACACAAAAGCAGAGTGCCGAATGAGAAAAAGAAGAAAAGTTGTAACACTTTAGAAAATCTATGAGTTGGCAAAAGTTTTACCGTACATTTTAGATCCAACTTCTACAGCAAATCGAAGTAGACACTGAGTTAATTAATGGGTCGTGTGGATTTCTTCAGCATTACATTTGATCGCCTCCTGGTTGCTGTTTCGTTCTAATCCCAATTTTATTTTATTGCAACCATTTTCAGGAGTGAAAATATCGCGCGGTATCTCTCTGGAAATAAACTTGCTTAAAATCGCATTCTGCTCAGCTCCAGACAGTTTGGAAAACAACATCTCCAGTGGCTTATTTTGCATTCGCGTTACCACCCTCCGTAACTGCAGCCCAGAAGGATTTCGATAGATCACTGACTGACAGCAGTTGGACCCTAGATTTACCAATACAACGTTGTACCAAGCTAATACTTCCAGCTGGCTTATCCAGATCTATGAAAGTTTAGAAGACATGAATTAGTCACCTGGCTACCCTTTACACATGTAGGTCAGAAGTACAATAGGATTGTAAAATGACTTTCTTAGAAAGGTG